TGTAATTTAATAGGATTTCATAATCAAGATCATACAGTATTAAGAATCTTTTACATAAGAATTTTGAAGATTTAGACATAACATGAGTGTTACCATTATTCAGACAAATCAGGGCATTTTAGATATTTGATTTTTAGAGAATTCCTAGTAATTTAATCTAATAAGAGTAGAGTGATGAGTTGTGGTATTTAAGAATATATATTGAATTATCAGGATTTCGATTCCGATTGAACCAACGATCCCAACACTGCGATACTTGTCAATCATTCGGATCGTGATATTTCACTATTATTGACTTCTTATTGCTGACTGCTCAAGATGATCATATCAATATCAAAATCATCATTGATAAGTTCTTGAGGAGACGAATAAGTGTTTTATTGATATTTATTTCATTTCCACATTGTAATAGTATCCCAAAATGTCTGACGACTTGGGTCGTGCTCCATAACCTTTAGAGGGTGTACATCATTTAGGTTTATCGATGTTCATATAATCTATCCAACGACATTCACTTAATCCAAGTCATAAAGGTATTTAGGTCATGGTATTCGAGGTTATTTTAGTCATTTTGGTTGGGGTTTTCCCAATAGTTCAGGAATTTAATCGGTGATTCTAAGGTTCAAGCGAATCAAAATTTGAGTTTTCAGGTCATCTCCATTATCATAGCCATCCATAGTCCTTTTTATATTTTAAGCGTATTATCGGCATTCCAATCAATTTTGTCAGTGTCATTACTTCCAATAATTTAGGCTTCAAAGTATTATAGTTCCTTTAGAGTTCAGGGTATTTCTATCATTTGATCATTGGAGGTTATTTTAACTATTTCATAGCTCGAGGATGTTTCGGTAATTCCTTTCATCAAACATATGTACTTTTTCTGATAATTGGTCAAGTATGTCATTTCTGGGTTATTTTTCACCATCAGGGGAAGTCTTGGTCTTTTACAGAACAAGGTCATAATTAATCGATGAAATAATTGGTCTTTTTCACCATAGGGATATTTTTGATAATTTCATATCCTAATATTCACGGTATTTAATCTTTAAAGAAATTAATCAAAATTTACGGATCTTGAAGTCAATTCATTTATTAATGAATCACTGAACTTATAATTATTTTCGATCGAACTTTCAGTTTCTTATGCAAGCCATCTGAGTCTTATAAACTTACTGTCTTTTTACCTAAATTATGTTCGAGTCCAATAATAATTAATTTTACCCAAAAGACCAATCATTTCATCGATGCAATTACCAATTATCAACAAGTTCCGAAAAGCATACAAAAGGTAGAAAAATATTACCTCAGTTTTCGTGCTCCACCGATCGAACATTTAAACTCCATTCGATCATTCTCGATCTTGAATTCCACGTCCAATAATTCTTCGGATACAAAGCAACCGAATTTACGTTAGAAACTGAACTTAATTGAGAAACCAAATTGAATCCGAATATAAAACACTGAAAATGGCTTACCGAGTGCGAATTTGGCAAAACGGACTTCGGATTCAAACTCAGGGCGTGGAAAAATATAAAATATGACTTTTCAAAAATTTTGACTTTTCGATCAAAGTCAACGGTCAAAGTCAACGGGTTGACTCAGATGAGTTGACTCAAATTCGGGTTGATTCAGATGAGTTGACTCAGTCTGGGTTGACTCGGTTAGGTCAAACAGACCTGGTTCAGACCGATTTGACTGGACCGGCTGGAGAGTCCCACGTTTACTGCCTATGCGTGCGGTGCGATAGATGACGTTTCGGACAACCGATCTTCCCTTTTTCATCTACACGCGTAAATTAACCAATATCAACCCCAAATTTTCAGTAAAACTACGCCTAAGTTACCGGAAAATTAATCTGAAGCTTACCTACACCGACGATGAATGAAACGGCGTCCAACCAACGATTTTCGGGTTGAGTTATGAGCGCCCATGGACGGTGAACAAAACCTCGGCGACGATGAGTCGTACGGAAGCCTCGGCTTGCCAGAATCGAAGAAAAATCGATTCGATGGGGGGTTTATTTCGTCGCATGTTTGAGCTCCAAATTACGATGAACGACGGCGTTTCACGACGGGATAATGGTCGGGTTTTGGTCACCTGACAATGACGAGTCCGATGCTGGTATTGGTGTGCTCCGAATGTGGCCGGTAGGTGAGGATTTTGGGGGTAGAGAGAGTGAAGGCTAGGGATTTGGGGGGATTGGGGAATTTTCGGGTATATCATCGGGGTTTATTTTTCATTAACCAACAAAAATGGGATAATTCAGGGTTAAGCCCCTAAAATTCTCAGAGTTTTGAAACTGAGTTATAAGTTTCTAGAACTTGCAATTTAGTCCTTTAAATCTACTTAAATTAATATAAAATTAGCCCCTAAATTGGGGTGTGACACTAACTGCTTATTTATGTTAATGACGATGCAAGTGTTTTCAGTTGTTGTAGTCATTTTGCAATCTCTTAAATTTTTGGTCACTCTTTAACCAATTTGATTGCAGTTTTCTCTATGTTAAGGGCTTGTTAATTATAGAAGCGCTTTGTAATCTAATGCCTCGGCCTAGCAACGAGAGATTGATCCCAAGCCACTTGGTACATTTCCCCTCACTTGCATATCCGTTTCTAGGTTGAATGCTACCGTGGATACCGACTGTCGGGTAAGAGATTTTGTTAATAAGACACACCTGTGGGCTGGGTAAGAAATTAACCATAACGTTAGGACAGACATAAGTTTTGACAAAATTGATATAGTTTTACAATCCTCTATCTCATTAGTGTTGCCCTAAATTGCAAAATAAGTAGCAGGTAATGATCAATTATTATGGACTAGCCGAATGCCATGTTCCTAGAGAATAGCAATGAAATATATAATAGGTAATTTAGAGAGATTTTTAGATCCATATATCTAGCTCTAATGATTGCTGGTGCTGATATTTGAGGAAAGAACTTGGCTTCAAGATTCATTGCCTTAATCTTATAGGAAGCTGCCATATATATTTGAGAGGTGGAGGCTGAAGCATTTGTGCGACATGCATGTTTCCTAAAGCTCTGTGAAGTTGTATTATTCAAATCCATTAAGCTCCATTTTCAACTGCCTAAGTTCTATAACCTACATTACGGAAAAGAATGGCAGTGTATTCAGTATTGTAATCCTGGTATTTGATTTCAGATATCAAACGAGATTTTTATGACATAAATTATCAAAGGAGGAGGTTTAAACAATCGAGTTAGTTGATGAAAAAATGTTATTCTCCAAGGGAACTGGACCATCGTGCATGGAATCCGTTATCATCGATCGTGAATGTACTTTTGGCGCGTAGCTTTAACTAAACAATCTGAAATAGCTTGTAATCGTTAGTGTTTGAACCCATGACATTGTTGGTAAAAGAATTATTATTATTCTTTGAGGTATTGAGTTTGAGCACTGAAAATGTCAGAGGTGCGTTCGATGTTAAATAATTGAGAGTTATCTTTGAACATATATTATCTTGTATTTATCTCACATTAATAAAAAAAATTATGTATCCATCACAACATGATTATTAACTATCATATATTTTATATCATTATAGTAGAACAGAGCATACCCTTTTTTTCATAAACTAAATTTAACTAAAGTCAATGTATTCTTAGTCAAAATACTAACTTGAAGCACATAAAATGTTAAGCACACAAAGTACTATTTTGAACTTGAAACATGTGCACAAAAAATGTTAAGTACATGAAGTGTTTCTTGATCTTATATTGTGGGTACATAAAGTATTAAAAACACGAGGTGTTATATCGAAACTGAAAGACAAGTACACAAAATACTATCATGGAAATTAAACAGACAGAGTGCATATTTGAATACACTAAGTACTTTCATTAAACTTGAACACATTAAGTGCTTAACAAACATGAAACTTGGATGCCGTAAATTCCACAATGTCAACGTAAACATTTATTTATAAATTTTATGTTTTATACTTGCTTTATTCACTTCTTCTAATTCATATATACATTTCACAATTATCTTCTCATATAATTAAACACTGTTTGTTAAGAAATCTTATTCATTTTTAATAAAAAAAATAATAAATTAAAATTAATAAATTTTATTTTAAAGATAATAATGTCTTTTAATGGTTTTATATTTTTTAAAAATCAAATTAAACTATAGATTTTAGAAATCTTTAAATAGATAAAGGAATAAGTTGCACAATGGTATTTTTTAACATAAAACGAAATAAAACAGAATTCAATTGATATTTTGGGGAAAATAATACTAACTTCAATTATTAAGAAACCGTAAATTACACTATGAAAAAAAATGGTTTCTCGATGAAAAGGTCTAGTTACTGAAAGGAAGTATCACTATATATTCAAAAAAAAATATCAGTTATCAGGCATCAATTAGCAGCAAGACAAGCAAACATCGGCTTCTTCGCCCATGTAGAGCGTTGAAAAAAAATTTCTTCATATAAGATTCTATTCAAATTATTTTTTAAATTATGTTGTTTGTTACAGTAATCTCATTGGTCGCTAAGTGTTTCATATGTCACCAAATGCTCCTTGCGATAAAGACTCTTCTGTTGCAGCAACTCTTCTCTCACTGTTGCAGCTCCATAGGTCGTTAAGTACTCCATAAGTTATCGTGTGTTCCTGGAGACCTATGAAAGTCACTATGTGTTCCTAAAGACTTATAATAATCACTATAACAAACATCCTATATAAATAAATAATTATTAAACTACACTATATGAAGATTATTTTTTTATTATATTATTCAAACACTTTTGCCGGCCAACATCATTAAACACGAAATTAAGCTGTCCGAAACTATTTTCCAACATAAAAAATAGAACTTGACTAGTTGACTGAAACCTGTAAAAGAAAGGTAAAAAATATAAAAAATTATACGTTTAATGGGGGCATTAAAATGGAGGCATTATTGGCACTGTAGTCAGTGGGATCCACAAGTTACTCTGACGAGGCAGCTACCCAAAGAAAAAATAGTGGGGTTTTTCTTTTTCTCGACTAATTTCTTATTACTTTCATCGGTCTCTCTCCATTAAAAATTCCTCCTTTTCTTTACCTCTTTTTTCATTTGCATCGAAGCTACTGTCTCGCATCATGCACCTATTTTCGATCCTGGCCAAGACGGTGAGTTCTTAATTTGATCTTTCTCTTAGTCTGTCTTTTTTCCCTCGTATGGCTTTGGTTGATCACAAAATGTTGGAACAAAGTAGCTCAAGTTTTGGGTTTTGCTTGGTTGATGACAGGAAAAAATAATTTTCTTTAATTTCCTTTTCCTGCTAACCAAACAAAGGGTAAAAATGTAATGCCATTTCCAGTATCTTTGAAGATTTGCATGTACAGTTTACTTTATTGTTAGGGTTTATGATACTCATCAATTACCTTTTTTGATGTATCCCTTTATTTCCAAATAAAAATTTCTCTTAACTCTGTTGGATTTGAATCTGAGATGTTTGAGTATTTGGAAAGACAGTCGAATGCAGTGAAGATTTTACTTTTATATATATGTATATATATATCTTTTATTAGTTGAATTATGTTAAGAGACTATTACTGTGATATCTATTCTAAGGTGGATTTTGGTAAGTTATACTGTTAGCCAGACTTAATATTCGGTTAATGAAATGCGCTACCGGTTTTGTTATTATTTTTTAACAAAAACCATTATTATTTCTACTTAAAACATTTAATGTTTTATAACATTTCCGGTAAGATGCCCAATAATAACAAAATTGATAGAAAAAATAACAAAAATGGTAGCTCTTTACCGGATATGTTAACAAAACCGGTAAAGCGCCCAATAATAATACAACCGATAGAAATAATAATGTTTCCGGTAATTTTTTATCGGTTTTATTAAAAAAATAATAACAAAACCGGTAGCGCATTTCCTTAGCCGTATATTAAACCTGCCGCACGTGAGACTTTCCCGTGGATTTTTTATTTTGCTGTGTAAAATTTTGCTGATATTATTTTTAAACATATTGGATTTTAAAACTAGATCATGTGTGAATCACAAAAAATACAAGGTACGGAGGGCAATAGTACTGCTGGTGGCAAAATGACTGATAACAATGAATGGGAGAAGGAATCTGCGTCCCTGCAGTTGGTAGGGCAGGTGTCGCTAGGAGATTTAATATGGGTCAAACTCCATGGAAACTCATGGTGGCCAGCAGTGGTATGCCTAATGCAGTGGTTGTTTGATCTTTTGCAACTACTTTTTTTCCAGCCTTCTAATGATTATTTAGCATTTTGAACATAATAGTCCAGTTCCGTGGATTCTAATGATCGATATCGTGTCAGGTTGTTGATGAGAAGAGTGTTAGCGAGAGTAGTAAACCGGGAGGTAAATCACGGGGGAAGGTGCTGGTGCGTTTATATGGGAGCCATGAGTAGTCAGTTCTCTGTTTCCCTACTTGATTATTGTGTTTCTTTGAGAAAGATGTGTTAACGTTGATTGGTTTGAGATATAAAAAAATGTAAGGATTTAATTGTGTCAACAAAATGTAAGCTAGGATTGAAGTGTGTTATTTGTCCCCTCTGCAGCTTTTATGCAGACCCTATGAAATATCATTCCGAGTTTAAAACGGTAAGTTCTAATCATGAGTTTCCATCTATTTTATTCAACCACTCATGTGAATTAGATTGCATGGTTGTATTCTACTGATTAAATGATTTTGATGTGCTGTTTCTACATCGACAGATTCTGGAACAGAACAATGGTAATTGTTACGACATTCTTGGCAAAACTTTGGAGCAGGTAATAGGTTTCTTTTTCTCTCATCTATATCATTGTCTCCTTTCAACAGTCCGAAGGCTCTCCCCTTTTTTCTGAAAGCTATATAGTTAAGCAAATTATCCCTAAAATTTGTAATTTATGGCTCTCCCATATTTTGGACATGGCTGCAGCTTCGCCAGAAATCTATTAAACCAAAGGGGCAAGGATCTAAGGCTACAGGTTAGTGTTTTAGTGTGCTTATCTATTTTCCTGATTAGATTCTAGTTTATTTTGCTGCAGTTCTACTCTAGGATTGAAAAGCTTTATTGCAATGAAATATTGATGTCGAAATTTGATGTATGGTATTCAAAGTTACGTTATTTACAGCAGAACTTGATGTGATAAATCATTTTCACTTTCCGGCTTTGGTATAATCAGCTTTCACAAATGTCGCAACACAAGCTGTCGGTTTATCTGCAGAAAGTGAAACCTCCTTGAGACTTCAATAAGTATTGCTGAGGCAGGTCGATGGCACTTGGCCATTGGTTCTTCAGATGATCATCTAAAACTGATTAGGAGCTTCGGATTTGAGAGAACCGACATCTATCTCTTTGTTTTCCCACCAAAACAAATAAAGAGAAGTTGATACCTTAGCATGCTTTTTTTTCTTTCTTTTGAACTTCATTTAGTCCTTACTCTCTAGACGTTACACTCACAAGGGAATCGGTATATTATTCACACCGAGCTTTGCTTCTTAGACCTTTCTTATATGCTTAGGATTTCATCTCAATGTTTTATTGAATTAACTTGGATTACTTGCTGGAAATTTTCTTTCTTTTGCTCCAAGTAGACATTTGATATCATAAAAACTTATAATATGGACTAACAAACACTGGAGCTGATACTTCTAAAGGCAGGACTTCCAAACAAGATGAAACTCCCAAGAAACCCAAGAGAAAGAGCCCTAGTACCGATAAACATGCAAAGAATAAAGCCAATGAGCAATCGAGTGTCCCGAAGAAACAAAGGAAAAACAGCCAAACTGCAGAGAAAAAGAAGCCAAATAGTAGAAGTGCCAAGGAAAAGCCCAAGAGTTCAACTTCTAAGGAACAGAAGAGGGGTAAAACTTCAAAGCAAGGTGAGGAGCAGAAAAAGTCGAAGCCGAATAGGCCAAGAACATCCAAAGAGGAAAATGAGGAGACTGGTAGCCAAAGCTCTGTGAGTATACACCTATTTTCCCCAAAAATTTTCCTACAAGTTCCTTGAAAACTTGGTTCTTAAACTAAATTGTATCCCTCAGAAAGGAGCTTCACCAGGAGAATCTCCCAAGTCAGGTACCCGAAGAACAAGAGTGATGCAAGGTCTGGGTTTGATTGCACCTCCTGGTTCACCATTTGACAAGAACGGACTCATATAGCCAAGTATGTCGGAACAAATTTCCCATGGCATGGTACTATTCCAATACATTTGTGATGCGGCTTAAATGACTTAGCTATGAACTGTACGCTTACAAATTTTAGTTCATCCATGAACAAAGACAGTGGAATCAGACAACTTATGCCACTTGAATTCTAGAATCTTATGTAAAACTTAAATCTCTTTGAAATTTTACTAGAGGATAAAATAGCCATGGGTAAAAATTGGGAGTGACTTGTACCTAATGGGATCCGAATTTCATACATGACCGCATATTTTGCAGCTAAATGGGCAAAATGCATCCCAATTATTGGTGTTTCAGCTTGTCACTTTTCTCTCCATGTTATCAAGAAGTGGTTATAAAGGGAACCAAAGCTGAAAAAGCTTAGAGGGGCATTGCCTGTACAAAATTTACAGATGTTGGGCTGATTTAAGGGACACCCCTGAGTTGGAACAGTGTTTGAAGTTGCCTTTGCCTTTAAAGGACCTTCCATTTTGATGTGCAAGTGACACCAATGTCCCATCTATCTACCGTCTTTTAGGTTCCATTTCTTCCCTTACCTTTCCTCGGCTTTTGATTTCACAAGAAGAGGAGAGGGTATATATCCACGTACGACGTATTCCAAACTGTCATTTTCTGAAGTTGGTCCCCTCAGAGCCTTGCGTTTTGGCAGTGGAATATGGGAAGGACGTCCCCAGAGCTTTGCCTGCTATCACTCGGATCTTCTCTTGTGTTTTTCCTTCAATGTAAAGTTACTTTCATTAATAACTCAAATTCTACCTCCTCTTCTCCGTATTTTACTACTCATATTTCTTTAAGATCATTACGGCATCTTGATAACATAATTTAAGAGATCATGGCCACTCTCATTCAATAATTAAATAATTCATCTAATTCTGTAAGTTCAATAATAATCCTTCTTTATTTGTAATGTTAAAATATTCATTACTTGTTCGTCTGTTTCATATTTATTGGCTCGGTGTGGGTAGAAATAATGAAGGAAAGCATGAGCCATGAGACACAAGTTGAGTTGGGTCTGCCGATTGAGGCAAAGGAAATGTCACGTTCATAGATAGATAGTGAAGGGAGGTTTATGATGTTAGGAACCGAAATGGAAATCTATTTACCAACGTTGTTGGGACGGGTCACTGCCATTAGATGTTGATCTCAATTCTCTACAGTGTTCGATACCTAGTGGTAGGGTTGCACAGAATTCGGATTTCAATCCGATCCGGATCGGTTTTTATCCGATCCGGATCGGTTTTTATCCGATCCGGTTTTTTCCCATAGAAAAAAAACCGGTTTATAAAATAACCGGTTCGGTTTCTAACCGGTTTGGAGGGCCGGATATCCTAATCGGTGTAACCGGTTTCGGTTTTAAAAAAACCGGTTTTTTTTAAAATCCGGTTATAAAAAAACCGATTTTAATATTATTAAAATTACATCGTCATCAATTGCAACAAAGTTTACGATAATTGAAATACTTAAATACTTCCAAGTTCGATAAATTAAAATACTTAAAAACTTCCAAGTTCGATAAATTCAAATACTTAAAAACTTCAAGTTCGATAATTGAAACAAAGTTTACGATAATTGAAATAAAATTTAAAAATAAACTACATTGCCATCTCTTCTTCATCATCTTCTCCTTCTTCGTTTAGAGGGGATATTCCAAGTTCAACTTCTTCAATGTGTAAGTTTGCTTCCAAATCGGCATCAATTGCATCTTCTAGGGTGGTAATATGTTGCTTACGAGACGCTCCATCCAAATAATCCTTCAAACAAATGCATACTTCCACCGACTCGGGACTTAGTCTTGATCTCCGTTGCGATATAACCCTACCACTAACAGAAAAAACGGATTCTGAAGCTACCGTAGAAGCTTGGACGGTTAGTAAATCACGGGCCATGGCGGCTAGAATCGGAAATTGTGCTTCATTTTCTTTCCACCAAGCCAAAATATCCAAACTTTCAAACTCTTCAAATGTCATTTTTGATAGAAAATCGCATGACATGTAATTTCCCAACTCGCTACTTGGGGTGGTAGTACGTGAACGTTTGGATTGGGAATTTACAAGAGTGTTAAAAAGATTCAAATTTATGTTACTTGGACGTCTACTAGATGATTCCACATTCATTCTCATTTGATCGTGTATTACACTACTTGATCTGTATTTAGTTAAATAAATTGCAAACATGTCTCGAAAATATTTGTTAAAATATTTATTTGGTTTTGGACAAAGTTGGGTTCATCATCGGTTAGATTAAAAGCAAACGCAATTTGTTCAATTAGTTTTAACCCCGCCAACATTTAACGTTGGGTTTAAAGCGGCGGCACAAGTAAAAATGGGGGGAATCTCCTTAAAATATTTTAAAAGTTTTTCCTTCATTGCAAAGCCAATTTCTTGAAAAACTTCGGTTTCAAATTCAAAGTCATTTAGTCGGGTAGCCAACAAAATATTTGATTAAGAACCAACGGCTAGTAGGGTAATAAACACCGGATAAAAAGTTGTTGCATTTTTAAAAACCCCAAGCAAATCGGTTATTTTGGTTATAGTTTCCCAACTCGAATCCGGATAAATGTTTGGGACATGACCCCTCTCGAAAAGCCGATCGTGAAATGTTTGCAATGTTTCCCTTTGCCTTAAGGCAGTATGCATCATCATCCAAGTTGAGTTCCAACGAGTTTGACAATCCAAATTAGGACCCAAAGCTTTTTTATTAACGGACTTACAAAATCGTTTATAATCATTTAGTCTTTTGTTGTTGTTACAAAGAACCGATTTTATCATTGTTTTAAATTCTAATCTAATCGGCTCAATAACCTCCAAACCGGCTTGCACGGATAAATTAATTATGTGTGCAACGCAACGGGTATGAAAAAACGCACCGTCTAAAATCGGTGAAAGTAATATTTTCAATCTTGGAACCGCGTTTGTATTATTCGATGCATTATCAAAGGATATAAAAAACTTTATTTTATAATTTATAAAGACAAATTACCCTTTTTAAAAGTGTAAATAAATTAGCACCGGTATGCGGCTCACCGAATAATTCAAACGCGATTGTTCTTTTCATCATTTGCCAATTATCTTGATCTAACCAATGTGACGTAACGGCTAAAAAAAATTTTCGGTATTATGAGGGGAACTCCAAACGTCACATGTAAGCGACACACCATAACGGTGTTCTTGGAATCCTAAAATCATTTTTTCCCTCGCCGTACGCCACATTTTTATAGCATCTCTTCTAAGGGTAGTACGACTTACTTGAGTATAACGTGGTTGCATTAGTTGTTGAATTGTTGTCGTGAAATCTTCATCATCAAAGTGGTCGAACGGCAATGCTTTTGTAATCACGAACTTTGTAAACGCTTCTCGTAATTTTTCGTTATCGTAAACAAAAACACCACCTTGCGGTGTAAGATTCGATTGACTTGGATCCGATCTTGAGCGAAGTGCCTTGCATGATTTTGTCAAATAGTTCTTCAACGTTGTGTTTCCTTCCAATGCAAGCAACTTTAGACAAAGTTTACAACGCGCCCTCCTCGAGCCATTTGGCATCTCACATAAATCGTAGTGATCCTAAATATCTTTGTTTCGAGTGTGTTCGATCACTCTTACGACTTCAAGGTTTCCCCCGACGGAAGATTCAACCTTGTTACTCATAATGAACAAAAAATTACAAAAATAAGATTTGAGAGATGTTTAGGTGTTGTGTAATAAGATTTGAGAAAGTTGTAATCAACTAAATACATCCCCAACCTATTTATACATGTTTAGGGTGGTAAAATGGTAATTTTTTAAAGAAAAAAGGGTCAAAAACGGTCACAACCCCCCAACGGCTATATTAACGGCTAGTTTTTTAAACCCAGACCGGTTTTTTCGGATAAAAACCGGTTTTTTAACCGGTTTTTTTCAAACCGGTTTTTATCCAGTAAAAAAACCGATCTAGGTTTTTTTTCCAAACCGGTTAAAATAACCGGTTTAAAAAAATCCGATCCGGTTAAAAAAAATCGATTTTTCCCAAATCCGGTTTCAGATATTTTTTTTCACAAAATCAGATATTCGAATTTTTTGTGCATCCCTACCTAGTGGTGGTCCACCCAACCCAACACTCTCACATGCAATTCTACACATTGTCAATCTATTTCTGTTTTTAATTTTGATCATTTAATTTTTCATTTGTTTAATTTGATCACAAAATTTTATAATATCATTCGTTTTGGTCACTTGTATTTTTTAATTTGATAATTTTTAATCTGTTTTTAATTTGGTAAACTACACTATCACTTGTATTTTTTCTTCTTTCTATGGTTGGAATCCTTCTCCATTGTCGTCGATCATCGTTTGCAACATATTTGGTATTAAGATGTTCTCCTTTGTCTCTCTTTCTCCTTCTCAGTTTGATTTTCTTTGAAATCAATAAAAACTCAAATCAAATCTTCAATCTTATCTTAGTCTGATATAGAAATATCCATTGTTTGATATACTAAAATTGATGTATATTACTTTTGTTCTTCCTTCTCAACCTCAACACTATTATGATTTGAGAGAAAATAGTTCGACATCGACGAATCAAATAGAGTTCAAAATTTAGAATTTGAAAAGAAAATTTGCTTATTTTTTTGTAAAAATTTATCAAAAATATTTAAATGATATTTAATACTTAATGGCCATATGATCAAAATTAACGAAATTAAAAAAAATACTAATGAAATTGAAAATTCTTAAAGTTGAGCAACCAAAACAGGAATACAAACAAAGTTGAGTGACAAAAAATAGTTTGTTCTTCTTTAATCTTCTTTCAAATTTCATCATCAATTTCTTTGGACCTTGGTCAAATAATAAACTTAACAAAATCCCATTTTTTTAGTTTTTTACAAAGCTAAATTATTGTAAGCAAACTAAGATATAAATCAACACAATTAGAAAAAGTTGCTATTTGCAGAAGAACCTGACACGGTGACAGCAGGCAAGACGTGAATCAGCATAACAATGACTAATATATTGTGTTGAATTAACCAATTTACATTACACATATACAGGTGATAGCAGCAGGAGACGATGACCATCATTATATAAAAGGAACAAAGGAATGCGTGTGAAAGTGAAGCAATGAAACGAGTACTACATATATATAGAGTCCGGCCGTATCACCATTTTCATGACAAGCTCCTGCCCTGCTGGGACAAATGCTGCCGGCGCCAGCCACCGTCATTCTTGCCCGCCGTGACTCGTTCACCTTCCAAAATGATTGTCTCCAAAGTTATATAATAATAACAGTCAAAATTACCAACAGAGACGTGCTAGTTAATTGAGTTTTGACCATTATTCTGTTTTTACTTGGTCTTTTATTTTAATTTTTTTCTGCACTCTAACCAAGTCCCACCTCGGATAACGATTATTCGCCTCAAGTAAAAGTCATTATCAGCAGTAGCGTTAAAAAAGAAAGAAGAAGGGGAAAAAAACAAGTGCTTGTCTGAGTACTTTTACTCTCACTTGCACTTCTTGTAATTTCCAAACTACAGTTATCGTCTCGCTTCATTCTATTTTTCTTCTCCTCCTTTTATATTGTAATGGGGAAATGTTTCCTCTGAAAAGTTTCTGCGGTGTTGAGAACGACTGTCCGGTCACTTTAATGGAGGGTGACGATACCATCAACGCTTTATCAGAGAGAAAATCAATGGAGGCCTGTAAGAGTCACAAGGAAGCTGAAAGGAGGCGGAGGCAGCGTATCAATGCCCACTTATCCACTCTTCGCTCACTCCTCCCCAACACCACCAAGGTTCTTAACAAAACATAGTATATTGCTATTAAGGTTAACGTTGTTTAATTTGTTTGTTTGTTTTGGGGACAGACGGATAAGGCTTCGTTGCTGGCGGAGGTTGTCCATCACGCGAGGGAGTTAAAGCGGCAGACGGAAGACGTAGGGCGGCGCCACCGAGACGGTTGTATTAATGACAGTCAACCGTTCCCCGGGGAATGCGACGAGGCGGCTTTGAGCTTTTGTGATGAAGAAGGGAAGTTTTTGAAGGCCACGGTTTGCTGCGAGGATAGACCGGGTTTGAACCACGATTTGAGTCGGGCGATCAGGTCGGTTCAGGCTAAGGTGATTCGGGCTGAGATGACGACGGTTGGTGGGCGGACCAAAAGCGTTGTGGCGATGCAATGGAGCGGTGACGAGGAGCAGATTGGACTATTGAAACGGGCTTTAAAGGATGTGGTGGAGAATCGGGTTTCTAGGTTAGCCCAAGAAAAGGGACGTAAACGGGCTCGGATTTTTGGGTCGGATTGTGAAACTGGCCATGGTTTTTGGTAGGCTGAGGCAGTATTTGGTTTCGTTAGTAATAAATTAAAAAAAAATATATAATAAGGTTAAACTGAATGTATATATATAAGATATAGTCTCAGTTGGTCATATATAAAAATCATGAGTAATTTGGGATGTCTTATTATAGTATACAGATAAAGATGTGTCTTCAAGTATTGCTAACTGATTTTCCTTTTATTTGATTCTTTCTTATTGTTTGAAATGGCCTGGTTTATCCGTGAGTATAATCATCTTCAACAGTCGTAAATTCAAGGTGCATGAGCATATACTGATGAAACTTATTATAATTAAAATAAAATGATTTAAAATGATTAAATTAAGGTATGAGGACCTAATCATAACTAAAAGCATTGTTTAGGGTCTAATACAAAAATTGACCTAAAAAGAAACATCTGGTTGCTGTGCACAAAAACAAACCAAAATCAAAATCGCAACCAAATTTACAGATGGAAAAATACGGAGGAGACGGGTTGGAAGCCGATAATCATGATCTCCCAGTTCTTCGTGCTTTCTCAGCGGGGCGATAACATTGTTTTCCGCGATTGTCAGTTCCCCTTCTTATTTTCTCTTTGGATCTAAATTTCATTTTCTCCTTTTTATATTTTGTTCTCATTGGAATCTTGCGATATATGGATTGAAATGAGATCCTTACTTTTGAATATTTTATCAATAATTTGTGCGAAAATTGAGCTCTTAGATCTGAATTATTTCATATCTGATTCTTGCTCTGTTCAGTTGAATAGAAAATATTTGATTTAAAATAGTCCTTCTCCTATCCTGCATTTTGAAGTATAATTGATGCTAATTAAGCTTTTGAAAATTTTTCAACCTTGATTCTCGAATCCGTCTAGATCAGCATCCGGTTCGTTTTCTTTTCTTTTGTTTTTTTTTTTGAGAATTTTTTTATTTATCCAAGTAAGCAGTGATTTGCTACAATCATGAATCATGCAGAATTTTTTCAAAGAAGTATACAGGTATGCTCCAGTCTATGCTGTTTGTCTAATTCCCTGTGCTATACAAGGTTGTTGACTAAATCATTCGTGTTGATTCTAGCCTCTGTCAATATAATCTTCACCATTTCCTTTAGCTCGCCAATCTGCTCTTACTCAGTTTCTGTTTGTTGCTAAATTGCCTATTATTCCTCGCCTTCCATATCAAAAACACATGAGCATTCCATGTCAACCTTAAATTAATGGTAATGAGAACCGTCCCTTTCAGTTTTTCAATTGCCCAATTCAACTCCTGCTGCCATGAGGAAGGATGCCTTTGCAAAGAGCATATTGCAGCACTTCCTCCCATATCACCCTTCAGTATGAGCCTCAAATTCTTCTTTACTGATAAACCAATGACTGAATCTATGAATTGATTTGCATGCTATATTTCTGGATACTGAAATTCATGATGCCTATGGAAATTAATGACCTTTATTTGAATTTACAATTGGCATTTGGCACATAAGCATGTACCTAATGCAAGATAACTGTTGGTTATTTATAATTTTAATTTACACTTGTGGTTTGATTCTATTGAATGCAAAGATCTTTACAGCCCAAGGCATGACACTGATTGAATGATTGTTACTGCAGATCGAAGTGAAGGACCAAAAGGAAGTGCAGAGATTTTTTCCGGAAAGTGAAGTTCTGGAAAGAGGATGGACAAGAGGAGGCACCCCCTGTCTTTGTAGATATTATATTACTAAAGAATGTAATATCAGGCCTTATGCCGTCTGAACAAATTTTTTGCAGTAAATGGATATGCTTAGTTTTTAGATTGATTTAATCACCTCCAAATTTTTATTTTAATCAATGGCTGGTATAATCCAATGCACATTTTACTTGATTGTATAGCATACAAGCCAGTGCAGTGATCTAATACTTCTGTATCATTTTTCCCCATCTATAGAATGTGGATGGTGTGAACTACTTCCATGTGAAGGTTGTTGGGCTGTTGTTTGTTGCAACCACAAGAGTTAACGTGTCACCATCTCTTGTACTGGAACTTCTGCAAAGGATTGCTCGTGTCATTAAAGATTATTTAGGGATTTTAAGTGAAGATTCACTGCGAAAGAACTTTGTTCTTGTATATGAATTGCTTGACGAAGTCATTGTAAGTTTTTTTCATACTAAACTTTTCAGTCTGTATATAATACTTTGGGTTAAATGCTTGCTACTCTTAATCAACTTCCAAGGGATTACTGCATCGTGGCTTTGCTTGAGAATTCAATAAGAAATTATGATAGACTGCATTTTAGAATCAAATTGTATGCCAGAAAATTTAAAATTTCTCTTCAATGAAATGTGCTAAAGCCTTTTTAAAGTCAGGTAAAGTATTTACTGTTAGCTATGCAATTGTTCTTATGAAAATATTTTAACATACCCTGGTATTTTTTTTCTTTTTCACTAGGACTTTGGTTATGTGCAAAAACCTCTACTGAAGTTCTGAAGTCCTATGTTTTTAATGAGCCAATTGTGGTTGACGCTGCACGTTTGCAGCCTCTTGGCCCTGCTGCCATCTTTATGGTATGATGAGATTACCTGGTTATAAACCTTAATATAAATCGTACTCCCTTATTTTTCAAAAATGCATTAGTGAAGTAATTTATTGTTCAATGTTGGATGTATACAGAAAGGAACCAAAAGAATGCCAGGCACAGCTGTTACAAAGTCTGTTGTAGCTAATGAGCCTGGAGGTCGGAAAAGGGAGGAAATTTTTGTGGATATAATTGAGAAATCAGTGTCACGTTTAGCTCTAGTGTGAGTATCTGCATTTCTATTTTAATTTGGAAAATTTTAAATGTTAAATTTCTAGTTATTAGACATTTTATAATCTAATGCGTACAGTTATTCGTCATTGGTTGAGTTGGTGTTCAGACAAGTTGGGTGTTAAGTCATTAATATTTTTGTGGATTAGTTGAGCTGTTATCTTTTTTCCCCTTAAAACAAATTTTTACCTATATGTTCATTAATTCCATCTCCTTTTGAACTAAATAAAGTGAAATAATGACCATTTTGTTCATTTTGAGTTGATTAATTTTTCAAAAAAAAAATTGCAGTTCATACATATGTTCCATAATGTCGTGCACAATTAAATGAACTGCCGTTAACCAAATTAATGATATTTAAAACAGGGGTATATACTGACTTCCGAGATTGATGGCACTATTCAAATGAAAAGTTATCTGTCAGGAAATCCAGAAATTCGACTAGCTCTTAATGAAGACCTGAGCATAGGAAGAGGAGGGGGATCAATCTATGGTACTACATTTACCCATTCGTATCTCTTTTGTTTTATAAGATATGTATATTATTTTGAGAATTGTCTTTCATTAAAGTTGCCGCCTTCAAGTTTTCATTGCAAACAGTTGAACAGATATTTGAAAGTATGATTTTATCAATAAGCACTATTTCCGTTTGTTCAGTTGCTTTTTGTATATGATACTTAGGGGTTGTTTTTTACTTCAGAATGATTAAGCGCTGAATAATTCAAATGCTGAATGATTCAGAGGCTTTGTATGAATTAGCTATGAATGTGACTGCTGTTTGATAATGGCTCGGAATCATTTAAAATGTACTTCTGTGCTGAATCATTCAGTACTGTTTTGCTGAATCAGTCAGCACTAAATTTCAAAGGGCGAAAAACGCGTTGAATGTTGAACGGTTCAACATTCAAAGCTGAATGGTTCCATTAAGAGGCAAACAAACAGCCCCTTAGCCATGATTTTCAATTGCAACAATTATTTTTTTATGAATCTTCTTGGCAATATTGGTTTATCCTACTATTTTGTATCTACCTTTCAACCTCTATTTCAAACCAATGATTTGTCGTTCTGCTGGGTCTACTAGATGTGGCAGATTATAGAACATCTGGTTCGGGCGCTGTGATACTCGATGATTGTAACTTTCATGAATCAGTGCATCTTGATAGTTTTGACATGGATAGGACTCTAGCTCTGGTGAATGAAATTCAGTTGATTGCGGCTAGAAAAATTTGCAGACTGGAGATATATATTTGCATTATTTGGTCTCATGTTTAAGTACTGTTGTTCAGGCACCACCAGACGGTGAATTTCCTGTCATGAACTACCGAATGACGCAGGAATTTAAGCCTCCTTTCCGCATTAACTGTTTAATTGAAGAAGCAGGACGACTTAAAGTGTGCTTGTCTTTCTTTTCCATGCATTATATTGGTTTCATTATATTTCTTCCACATAATCCATGAGCATGTAATTTTCCTAAAAGTAATAAGATAAGAACCTATTTCATATACAAATAATTCATTCAGTTCTGATATAAATTTGAAATTGTAGAACATTTATTCCGGGTTCCAATCTTTATTCTTGGGTATTGACATTTTAGGCTGAAGTGATTATTAAAGTATGCTCAGAGTTCCCTTCAAACATTACTGCAAACACGGTTGTCGTACAGATGCCACTTCCTAAATATACCACCAGGTATCTTCCTTTTCTCCGGCAATATCTTGCATGGCGAGACAGATACATTCCAATGGATTACATCTTCTAGACTTGGTCTTGCAGAGCTAGCTTTGAGTTGGAACCTGGAGCTGTTGGACAAAGAACAGATTTCAAAGAAGCAAACAAGAAACTTGAATGGGGGTTGAAGAAGTTAAAAAAATACAGATGCCTTGAGAAGATTTCACTCTCTATCAATTATATGGTAGATTTTTCCTTTTGATCTAATCATTTTGTGTTGCTTGACAGATCGTTGGTGGATCTGAACATATACTTCGTGCAAAGCTGACGTTTTCACAGGAATCACATGGTATGCATTATCCATATCTTTTTCTGAATTTCTTTTTTCTCAGCATGATGAATTCAATTGAGAAAATGTGTTAAGTTCCTTTCTCATTGATGAGATATTTATGGTTTTAATTCAGCAAACATCACGAAGGAAGCTGGACCAGTTAGCATGACTTTCACAATACCAATGTATAATGTTTCAAGGCTACAGGTAAAGCTACTCTTACCGGTAGTTTCCTAGAGGATTGAAATTCTTTATTTTGGCTGA